CCCCCCCCCCCCCGGGCAACTGTCTTTTTGTTGCTGTTGTGGTTGTATTGTCGTTGTTATATTTCTGGAGGAAAGCACAGCCTTTCCTGTTTAGTTTTTTGATGTATGTACAAGCATGCTGCATATAAAAAATGAAAAATGAAACATGTAAAAATGGGCACTGTTTCTCGTGACGCGTCGAGCGAGTCCGGGAACCAGACAGCTAGCGCTTTCAAAATTCTCCGTATCTGGCTGTCCGTGTACTTAAGCCTATATACCTCAAGCACAAGCCACGTCAATTATAGATAACCTTCAACAGTTATTTCTGCAATTATTCGGACCACTATCAATATCACAACGATCTGTCTCCAGAGACAAGACAAGCCTGCAGTTCAGAACTGCGCAATCCCAGAGCGAGGGCTAGCAAAGATAACGTTAGCAATTTACAACCTTTTTCTAAGCCGTTGATCGGTAAATGAAAACACAAAAAAGTACCTGAAGAAGATTTAAAACTCCTGCGGACATATTGAAGCCCCAGTGATGTAGTGCGAGGTTGGAATTGGCTCAAAACTGCACGCTTTGAAAACATGGTCCGTGCTGTCCGTGCACGAAACTTGTCCCAAGTGGAAAAGACTGCCCACTTTTTGTAATTTACCTGAAATGTCCAGAAGTCGTCACACAATCTACGCGTTTGTGAGAACGTCGCGTCACGATGCAAATTTCAGAAAAAGTAGATTTTTCACTGGCAGACCATGGTGTGTTTCAGGGATGTTTTTGACTACTAATTACAGATTTATTGCCGCGATTAAGCTAGGTTTGCAGCGTGACCTCCTGCTGACTCCTGCCGACTCTGAACTGCTGATATACAGTAGCCCGGGGGAGGGGGGAAAGGTCGGGGACGTCGGGGTCGTGGATAACTTTGAATAACCGCTGCTCAGGAAGGGCTAATGCATCAGTCAATTCCAGCAGTGCCCATCCCCCCCCCCGGGCAACCGCGGGGCATTTGCTCACGTTGTCAGTCCCGGGGGTGGGTCATCTGCAATTTTATCGCGGTCCCGGGGCTGGGCATTTGCTTACCCGGGGCGACCCCCGGGCATTTGACACACGTATTTTAGTGCCATGGATGAGTTCATTGGGAAAGACGAGGCGTTTGTCGAGTAATGACTTGTCCGTCAGGGACTAGAGAAACTTCTGGATGTTTTAAAGATGTGTTTACTCAATTTTAGATATTTCTTCATTACTTGTAAGCATATAAATATAAGCGACAAGGTGAACTATATTTTGTTTATCACAAAACAATCACTGACGTGAACACGACTATTTTGCATTTCGCATGCAAAACTAGCCTAGCATTTTTTAAATTCATGAAAGTAGAGTTAAAATACTTAAGGTTTGCGAATTCAAATGATGCGATCTTCAAGACAGATCTTGCGAGTTTATAATGCAAACATCATCATTTAAAATGTCTTGATTCTTCACAGAAAAAGTAGCCTGCGAAAACAGGCACCTATCATCGCTCGCGGCTGGAGGCACGTCCGCCGCGATCC